GGGGGGGGGGGGGAATGCATATATACGGTAAACAAAATTTATGCCCGCGGAATGAAACAATCTCGCCGTCGCGACAGTGTGAAGGGATTTATTTTCTGTTTCGCGAGATATTACGTAAGGATCACATCGATTAATTCGCCGTCGTACAAGAGCTATCGCGTCAAACCACCAATCCTCGAAACTGTGTGTCTCCCAACGTGTTATCGATCGCCGCTAATGCCTCTCTCTCTCTCTCTCTCTCTCTCTCTCTCTCTCCTCAGTTTAATTCTCGGTCCCGCGGCCCCGAAAGATTGAGAAAGATTCGAGGCCCGAGGGGAGACTAGGAGTCGCGTGTTTTCCGAACCGCTGATCGAGCCGCGAACGACGAAGGATTCATCTTAAATGTCGAACGGCGGCCCACAGCGGCAATCTGTGCATTATTCGCCTCCGCGACTCGCGGGCGAAGAGAGCGGGTGCGTGACCGTAAGAGGATCGATTGGCATATGCAGACCCAATTAGGGATTCAGCCGGAAATGCAGGGGGGTACCCCGCCGGACGAAGAATATCGCTGAATATTGTATAAATATAAATGAAACAATGAAACATAAGAAAAAAAAGGAAAAAGCAGATCCCGCTGAATACATCGCCTTCGCGACGAGTTTCGTAACGAGCCCGATCACTTTCACGAGTGATCCCGCGCCGTTAGAATCACGGTCGACGATCGCGCAAAACATTTAGCCCGCGCGACACAGCGACTTTCCGCTACAACGATCGCTCCCCGGCTTCCCGATTCTTTCCCGAGGACAGTTTGAGCACCGCAGCCGGCGATAACGATACTTTCGCGCGCTTCGTATCGGGACTTTTTGCACGCGAACTTACGCTTCGTCCCGAGATAGCGCGAGCGCGTGAGAGAACTCGAGGCGGCGGTAACCGGTGATCGATCGCGGGTGAACATTTCTCTACGCACCCGATAAAACGACAAGCCTCGTCGTTGCTCGCGCGCTGCACACGTGTGCGCACACACGCCGAGAGTGCGCTCGACGCCGGCTCGTCAACCCGGCATCGAGCAGAGTGAACTAGTTGGAGAGAGATTCCCGATCGGAATAATTCCATTTTTCCCCGATAATACGACAGAAATCTGACGAATAACGGGATTACAGTCCGATCGGGCACCCTTCCGAATAATTTCATAATATCTGCGCCGCTCCGGACGCATCTTTTGCGAGTAAAGTGGAGAATGCGCCGGTGAACGCGGTTAGCCGACGGTAAGGACACACCTCGCGAGCTACGCTACTTCTGTATTATCGACGTTCGAATTACGGCATCGAATTACCTCCCGCGCCACCGATATTCGCGGGAAAATATATTCTTCGATTCATCGGGGCTCGTGTATCACACTTTGCGGACAGATTTCTTCCCGCGACTTTTTCTACGAAAACGCCGCGAATTCCTCTTCTTCTCTCTCTCTCTCTCTCTCTCTCTGTCTCTCTCTCTCTTTCTTTTTACCACAGGCATTAACTAATTGAAACAGAAGCGCGGTCAGGGGACGGGCCGAGGGATCGAGGGGGATTTACAGCGCGGGAGGGATGAAAACTTGACAAAAAGAACGAGCGGCAAAAAAGTGGGTGGACACCGAGAAAGAGAGATGCGCGAGACGACGCTTGGAATATTCCGTCGACGGCGCTCGTTGTCGGTCTCATTGTTATCGACCCGTTGGCATCCCTCTGGCGTCATTGCTAACGCGATCACGTCGTAGCTATCACCTTCTTCCTGTCGGGCAGCACCTTCCTACCTTCCGCCACTCGTGACGTAGTTTCGTCGTCCCCCGCGAAAGGTCAACGCGGTGTCCGAATGTATTCAGGGATTAAGAGAATATTTCGTTTCCCCTCCCCCCGCAAACTCGCCCGAGATCTCTCCCCGTCGCAGGCAAATGTCGCCGGACACGGCACTTTGGGCGAAGAAGATCCCGAAGGATCTTGCGTATCTTTATCCTCACATCTTTACTCCGAAATAACACAATAACGGATTTCCCTGTCGATACCGCGAGGATTAATAAACGTGTCGGCGTATCGTGACGNTTTTTTTTTTTTTTTTTTTTACGACAAGCGGAAAGAGTTTACGCTTTACGACCGTGAAGAACGGGTTGCATACGGCCGGGCCGTAAAGATAAATATGACACTGTATATAAGCGATGCTTTTCTTGTGCTAATTTCTTGACTAATCGGCGATGCGTTGAAGCACCAAGGATTCTAGGTAAAAAAGTGATGCGTCGACCTTCCTAATTCCCCGCAGTTATGTTCTCTTTTATATTCCAGTCATGCGTCACGTAACGTTTTAAGACGAGATAACGTCGCGAAGAAGACGTTGTCATTATTGTTTCGCTGTTACGAGCATCGCGTGTAATATCGCGCGAGCACGCACTAAGCAATATTCTCCCCGTAAATTTGCGGGCACGCGTGACAATGAAAAATGATCTGATCCATTGTTTATTTATCGAGAGGCCCAAATAAATTTCGCATCGCAAGATACCTGAAATATTGAGGACGGAGTAGCGGAATATTTTCGACAGTGACGATGCATTTTTCAATCTATTTGTTTTTCATCCTCCTTTCCTTTTTTTCCTGGCATGATTTCACGCCAGGCTAAATTGCTTTTGAATGAGGGACAAGTAATAACTTAGTGCAGAGATAAACGAGCATTAAGAAAGTGCGAGGGATTGAAAAAGTGGAACGTCCGTGATGATAAAGCGCACGTATCTACGCGCCGTGCGGACGTATTGTAACGTTTTTAGAATGTCTAATGAGCGAGATAAGGGACGTCTGTAATCTATGAAAACAGATCCAGGAGGCAGGTGAGTAATATGTTGGTATGCTTATTTGTCACGTTCGGATTTTTAGAAATATAAATCCCGCGTTTATATAAATGCCCGAGGACTGTCCGCTCGGGATCATTACAGCTGCAAGCTGCGGTAAAAGAGGAAGAGAGAGTTAGTAAAGTGGAAATTCCTACAAATAAAATGTCACGTTTGAGTTATTGTGTTGTTCTGTCGGCGTTGTTCGGAACGCTCTTGGTGAAGGTAACGTAAATTTCAATCAATTTCAAGCGTCTCCCGCGTTTATAACGGCAATTTTGCGCGGTCGGTGCGGTGACTATCATTATTCATCAGCAGATTATTATTTACATTAGTTTGTGTAATTTTAATGCGACAGTTATCGGAAGAATTATCGGTGTAGTGGAAAGCGATAGTAAGAAAATAAGAATATTAAACGATACGCGTCACTTTTAGGGGCAAGTGCGAAGCGATGACGAGCTACCTCGAGAAACCGTAAGATTCGGTTTCTCCATTTTTGACGAATTACGACAATCCTACTGTAAATCGTTTTGCATGTCCGCGGATACCATGCCGTATATCGTGAATATCCTATGCGCTGTTAAGTGCCCCGAATTATATTTGCCGCATGGTACGACCACGCCGCAGAGTACGTCACCGGCGGCTTCACCGGCGGCTTCACCGGCGGCTTCACCGGCGGCTTCACCGACAACAACCACGGCGACTTCAGGTACACGAATGAGTAATGCCGGGAGAAGTTTTCGACTGCCGAATCTAACTCGGTTCTGATCAATTATCCGTTATTCTTCATTATTTCCACGGCGACACACGGAGATAATTTAACAATTTAATTTACCTCATTCTTTATTTCTCCGCGATTATATTCGGACTTCGTTTGTACCCATCGATTAGTATCATTAATGTAGAATAATAATTACAAAACGGGATTAAATTTAAGTTTAAAAATTATAAATGCAAGAAACGAATCACGATGTAAGTATTGGTGTGAAATTAGATCCGGCATAAAATGACAATAAAAGCCGACGAATGTTTGATATTTGTGGAATTTTTTAAGAGACCGGAACGTCGTGGAGGACTGCGCACTGATCAATCAATCATAAGGCAGAAATTTACTTTTATTTGTTTAAACTTACAGCACCAACGACAATCACAACTACTACACCGTCCGTGACAACAACAACCTCTACTACCCCATCTACGACGGTGTCTACCACTCCATCTTCAACAACGCCTACGACAACAACTTCTACTACTACTCCATCTACGACAACGTCTGCTTCGAACCCTCCGTCGTCGACGCCCGGTATGGGGTAGATAAAACAATCCAACAATGCGAACACGATGATAATGATAACGAGCGTCAATACGATATTATGGCGATAAAAGTCTATATAAATTGAAAAACAACACTGTATATTTAACGATGAAGTAACGAGTAACGCACAGTTTTTAGTTGATCGCATAAGTATGTTTGCAATTTACACGGCAGATGTCGCAACATTCTTCAGGCGTATTGTTCCGAGTTAAGAAAGATTTCTTCTCCACGTGCGAAAGCACTTATAGAACGTTGATAAAAACGATACTGGCGTTACCGGCGCTGTTTTCTGCGGTTGTAGAAAAATTTGCACGGCAAATAAACTGCGAACGATATTTCCCGGTGTAGATATACATCTTCTCATCCTGCCTTTTATGGATTTCCCTTCCCTTTTTGAAATAACGCGTACCGCAATAAATGGCAGTAAAATCACCCGCAAATCGCACATCGATATCTCTTTTAACGTGCACGAATCCGCATTTAAATGTATAATTCCGCTTTGAAATCCCGCTCTTCTCGGATTCGACGAAAAATAATCGTATAAATGGGATTTGCGTTATACAATTTTTGCGCCGTATATAAATTACACGCGATTCGTTCTCGCGGATTTGTTTTGCGCGCACTCGAATTTGCATAAATTACGTACGAAAATGAAATTGTTTAATATGTTAAATTTCATCATCGAGGGGCATACTGAAACGAAGCCCGGCGGGCACCGGGAAAGGAAGAGCGAAACTCATCAATGTAGAAAATAAGACCTTGCTCTCGTTGTGAAAGTAATGTCGGACAGCCTATTACGAGAAACTTACGTCCTCTCACTTTCTGCGTGCACGTACAATGAGCCGTTGGCGAATTACATCAAATGTAGTTTAACGCTGTAAAAGGCAAGTCCTGTTAATCGCCGCGGCATAACGAAAACACCCAAGTATTCTCATCTTGCAGCATGCAACATTCTTGAGAATGCATTCTAGCTCTCACATTCACCTCTTCGGAGATGAATTTATTAAAATCAGAAGGAAATGACCTAATTTTGACATAAATGTGACATAAATGTGACATTTGTCAAGCACATGACGAGATTTCTCTCTTTCACGTACACTATAGTAATATTCGTTATAAATAATTGAAATTAAAAATTAAAAAGTTAAATGATAAAAGTAGCAAATTAAAATATAAAATTGAAAATTAAAATTAAACGTACACACATATGTAAATGTCCTTGAAGAGGTTAAAATTTATGTCCTCGAAATAATAAAAACAATCCACAGTCATGTAAAATGATAAATTTCGACCGGCCGTTTCGGCTTTTTCTAACTTGAATTACAGAAATGAGAAAATCTATAAATAGCCTTATCTCGAACGTATCATTAAATTTAACAGCCGCCACATTAAATGAACAGTTAAATTTTTAATAGAGCAATTACGGGCGCTAAAATGCCTTAAACTTCGCGATCGATCAATCTTGATCTCGGCCATGAGTCATTTGAGAACGAGCTGCCGACATGTGGAACAACCAGTGTGTACCAGGATACAACGTTGCAGGATATAGACTAGTCTCGACTAGTGTGAATCACAGCTGTCGGCATGCGAAAGTATGAGAATGCCAAGTAATATATAATGCGACGTCAATATGTTCGGCTAATATGGAGCAAGATACCATCCGGAGGATAAAAATACGACTCTATCACGCGTGTATTAATAATAATTTCATTCTGCTTACGCACGGAAGAAATTTCTCCTACAATAATAAACCTATCGTACTCGATTCTATTCTAAAATTAATGATAAAGTTTTATCTCGTGTCGCACTTCCGTATCTGATGCGTTACAATTGAGTTCTCATTTGCAATAAACAGGAAGTATCTCGTCGATAAATTGTAATAATTAGACCCTTTCTCATGTTCGTTTACGCATGTATTGTGCAATTTGCAATTTGCAATTTGCAATTTGCAAATTCATCGTGGAGTAATAATACTGAATGACGCGGTGTGATATTTAAAATGGGAATTCTTACTCATCGACTATAATCAGTAACGTAAATGAGGAAACGGATGATTATATTATGATTCTATGTAAGTTATTTCTATTATCTGCTTTTCGCACGCAATAATCAAGGTTTCCACGTACAATTTATTCCGTGTACGCGGAATAAATTGTGTTAAATTAAGATTAAATTTTAAGATATTCCGACACCATTTGTCTCTCGTGTTATTAACCCTTTGAATCTCGGCCTTTCACCCTGGAAATGTGTTATTTCAATAGAGGAATATATCAAATAGGTGTACATAATGTTTCAAAAGTTTGTTTTCTCAGCCGAAGAAGCCAAGTGGTTTCTCAGCCGGAGAAATGAAAAAAAAATTATGAAACATTAGAAAATTGATAAAAATTCGGTTCTTTTATCAAACCCGACTTTCCACGTAGGCAAGTAAACATTTTATTCGTAACCTTCGAATATAAATGTCTCTTATTTTTTAGCTATCTCTTCTCTCAATATACAGCTTGTGCGATTTAGTTCGGCGCTCGCGACTATTCGGGTTGACGGAGAACCATGTCGGAATACGCAAGAACACGCGTACGAAATATCTTTCCTTTGCTCGCCCTCCCCCCCCCC